ACTACTAAAGAAAGAAGTTAGCATCCATTATATTTTTGCTACAGTTAACAACTTTCTATATTTTTAACATTCAATAACATTGAGTTTTTACCTCCTAGTGGTTTGGGAACCTGGTTACAATGGAATGGTGGAATGATATTTGGCTCAATGAAGGTTTTGCAACATACATGGAAATTATCTCTGTTAGTGCTACATATCCAGAGCTACAAATTGTAAGTTGACAATTTTGTATATCATACCATGTGCCCTAAGGAATCATCAATTTACTATTGAAATTTTTAGTGAATGCTAAAGAGAAAACAAGATAGCATGGTGTTTTTGAACCTGTGGTATTTGGTTTGAGGTACAAGACATTGTATTAGTTCACTAGGGCTTCCATGACAAAATACCACAGACTGGGTAGCTTAACAATAGAAATTTACTTTCTCATAGTTCTGGAGGCTAGGTGTTGGTGGGCTTGGTTTCTTCTGAGGTTTCTCTCTTTGGAGTACAGATAGCCTTCTTTTTGCTCTGTCTTCACTTGGTCTTTTCTCTGATGTTTCTTTGTCCAAATTTCCTCTTTTTATAAGACCACCCACCAGTGAGATTGGATTAGAGCTCACCATTAACAGCCTCCTTTTAACTCAATCCCTTCTTTAAAGGCCCTATCTCCAAATACAGTCACATTCTGAAGTGGTGGGGATGGGATTAGGGCTTCAACATGCAAATTGGGGGAGGCACACAATTAAGCCAATCGTATAAATTCCTCACCCAGAAATTTATGGACAGAGAGCTCAAATTGCCCAAATACAGAGCTGCATATGCAGAGTGAGAGGAAAGAACATCGCTGTCCACACACAATAATATCGGACAAGACAATGCCCATGGTGTAGGTCCTGTGCAGAGTTCTTGGCATGTAACCTGAACTAGGCATAACTGGAGGCGCACACCTCTAGAATTTCCAGAGGGCCTCTTCACTTCCCCCAATGTGTGCAAAGATTTCTTCATGCATGTCTTTTTTAATAGGCTTAAGGGGATCTAAACACCACATAATAAGGTGGTTAATAAAAGTTAATTAGCTCTTGGGGGTAGGCATTTAGTCTAGTACAGTACAGACAGACATGGATTCAAAGTCAATGTCTTCTTATTTACTGTGTTCTGAAGCTGTGGTTTAATCTCAAAGCTTCTATATATTCTCACTAGTGAAATGCATTTAATGCATCACCCATGCAGAGTTTTGAAAGGATTGCAGATGATGGATGTAAGGTCCTAGCACATAGCAAGTGTTCACTAAACAGGAACCATTAGTTTTACTTCTGTATCCAAAGCTTGGTAAACATTCATGCAATGTCTGAGGGAATGTTGGATTTACACTGTTATGAAGTAGAAAATTGGTGAAAAGGGAAAGAAACTTACAATCAATTGTAAGAAATGTTGATTGAATACTTACTTCTAAGAATATCGGAAGGGGATGTGTGTGTTCAGCACTTCGGGGGGTGAGTACACAAGGCAATATACAGATGATGCATTATAGAATTGTATACTTGAAACCTATATAATTTTATTGACCAAAGTCACCCCAATAAATTTAATAAAATGTTTAGAAGGGGGGAAAAAGAATATCTTACTAAACTTAGCATGTTTTCTATTGCTTTAAGAGTGACAATTTGAAACTGAAAAAGAAATTGTTCTTCTCTGTTTAGGATAACTATTTTTTGGACGTGTGTTTTGAAGTAATTAAAAGAGATTCATTAAATTCATCCCATCCTATCTCCAATCAAGCAAAAACTGTTACTCAAATACATGAAATGTTTGATGCAGTTTCCTATAACAAGGTAATAAATGCAATGGACAGTGGAAGCTCTGTTTTCAGGAGAAATATAAAGAAGCTTATAAAAGCAACATGTTAAGTTGTTGCTGGCAGGTTACTGCCACCTGTTTAACTTTTTATTTTATTTACTGTTCATTTTTCAGACATTACACGTGTTCTATAAAATTTAAGCTTCCTTCAAAAACATATCTACCATTTCCTTTACGTTCTTTCTATTTCTTTCTTTTTTAGGGAGCTTGTGTTTTGAATATGCTCAAGGATTTCCTGAGTGAGGAGAAATTTCATAAAGGAATTATTCACTACTTAAAGAAGTTCAGCTTTAGGAATGCTAAGAATGACGATTTATGGAGCAGTCTGTCAAATGTAAGTCATACATTGGGCTACAGTAGATTGTTGTTAAGCCTATAAGGTGACAGGCTAATTATGAAGGTTTATAAATCACTAGATTGTCAGTCAACAAATATTTATTCCACGTGCCACCCTGCCAGGGTCCATAGAAGGCAGCGCCTTCATTTTTTCTCTGTCACCATAATAAACCAGGATGCCACACTGGGTTAGTCATAGGGGTTAGATTCTTCACCTCCTTCTCATTGGTTTCCCTTCTATGGTTAATACTATACTTTTTATCCTCACATTTCCCAAAATCTTTAATGACTTTGTAATTCCTATTATGTATAACACCTAATCTGTCCAAATTTTAAGGTTGAACACTACTTGTTCAACTTTACTTCCCAACATGTATTCTCTGTTGAGTGAGACACATATTCTCCCTCATAGGAAGAAATCCTGCACCCTCTCTATGTTTTCATGCCTTTGTTTCTGGTGTTCTCACTACCTGAAATGCCCTTTCTTCTTTCCAACAATTCAAATACTATCTATCTTTTGAGATCTAGCTGAGATTTCACCTCCTCCTCACACACTGCTTCAGCCCTCATTGGTTTGCTTTTCTGCCATATTCCTAGAAGTGTATTGATGAACCTGTTCTGCACAGTGACATTCTCTTTTATTGGTTTTGATGGTTCAATAATAACAATGATATAATAATAATAATAAAATTTGCTTAAGAGCAAGAATCATGGCTGTTCTTGCTTTTTAATGCCATTGAACTAGCATACTATTGATCAATAATCAATAACTGTGATTAATAAACAGTTAATGATTGATTAAAGAACACATGGTCACTTTGTCATTGGGATTCAGGTAGTATAATAGGTAGGACAGAGCAAAAAAACATACAGTAAACGCCAATGAATCTATTCTAATAATTATTAAAATATTCTTACATTTTCAACTGCAAGGAAAATAATCTTTCATAGAAGTATTGGGCTGGCAGGGCTCATGCCTCCTGGTAGAAGAACCCTATGCCATTATAGACAGAAAACGCCCTTTATTTTTCATAAGCACTTATGTCCCAGGGTCAGTAATAATATTATTCAATATTTGCATAGCACGTTACAGTTTAAAAAGAAATTTCACTTGAATTTTTTGTGTCTGTGTCAAGTCTGGACCCTCATGGTCTAACCTACATGTAATTTTGTAGTCAAAGAAACAAAGTCAAGTAACTAAAAAAATTGTTCATGTAGCTCACATCTTTTACGCACATTTCTTGAAAATCATGAAAAGGCTCAAAATGCAGTCTTTAGTAATGCTTATAAAAACGCTCTTTACCCATTTCCATCACCTCCTGCAGTAGATCCAGATGCTCTCTATCCTCAATGCCTCTTACACTTCTTAACAACAAGCCTCACATTGCTTTTCTCTCCCATCCCTCTCCTTTTCCCTCTGCTATGCAAATGTGCACGTGCGTGCGTGCGTGCGTGCGTGCGTGTGTGTGTGTGTGTGTGTGTGTGTGTGTGTGTGTGTGTAGACATCAACCTAGCCTTTGTTCAACAAGGAAGAATCTGTCTTTGGTGTGCGTAGTGGCCATAGGGGGGATTAAAGGGGAAATTTGGCCAACAATAAGAAGAAATCTTTAGGCCAACTCTGAACACTCTTATGTTAATTTTTGTCAAATCATGCTTATAAGCACATCGAGAAGGTAAGGTAGGTGTTCTTACCCCATTTTTATCGATGAGAAAATTAATGCTAAGGGAGAGATTTGCTCAAGATTGTATACCAAATGAGTGATGGGGTGAGTACTTAAAATCTGTGCTTTGACCCTAAATCCAGTGTTCATTCTTTCAGTTACATCATAGCTTCTTCCTAGTTATCAAGTAATTTTCCTATCTATCCTTTCCTTATAGGTCTTAAATTCAGTTGACCCTCCTCTGATGCCAAATGAAACTGCAGTATGAAATGATAATTCCTGAAAATACTTTACTCAGCATTGTGTCACATCTGTCAATTCTAACAGCAATGTCAATAGCAACTTGGAAATCAGAATTCTTTGTTGTTATTTTTCATAAAATTATTTAATAACACTTGAGAGCCTTAGACAGTGTGTATGTCATTTTTCCCAACTACAGTTCCCCTTAGAGCATTAACTCCTTATTCAAGGATCAATTGCCAAGTTGGTGATTTTCTTAGGTCTCATATCAGTTCTAAATTCAAAATGTATTGTGCAACCATTATATGCTACTGTGGTAGTCACTGGGAATAGCCAGGTAAGCAGAGGCGCTTCCCCCACTGTCAAGGAATTTATGATGTGGTAGGGAAAAGTTAACACTAGACACAGTTCCCTAAATGCTAAATAGGGTCATGAGTAACATGCACACTGAAAGAATAAAGTAGGACCTTTCTGGAAAGGAAAGAAACAAAAGGAAAATTCAACAAATTGAGTCATCTCCTTTTTTTTATTTTTTCAGCCGAGCCATCCTGCCACCTTTGGCAGCTCAGCAGCTGCTCAGCTCAGGCCGGGACTCGAACCGCTATTGCTCAGAGCTTGCACTCTTGAGCGAGCTCTTAACCAACTGAGCCACTTGGCTGGCTCTTGAGTCATCTCTTAAACAGTTATTCCACAATGTTGAACTTCTTTAGCAAACTTTAAATACATACATATATAAACATTTAATTCACCTAGACATGATAAGGAGCATAGTAATTCATGAGGTAACTTGTGTATGTTCTATGGTCACTGAGAAGGCGACTTTTATTTTTTTCGTTTCATGAATTGCTATGCTCATTATCATGTCTAAATGAATTAAATGTTCATATAGCTATCCTAATAATGTCTGCATTCATGTCTAATATGCATACTCAGCTAACTATCAGTACCCAAATAGCAGTGCTCTTTTATTCTTGTCTTATAGAATTGTGTAGAAGGTGATTTTACATCTGGTGGATTTTGTTATTCCGATTCCAAGATGACAAGCAACACAGTAAGTATGCAGTGGCCTATAGAATAGAAGAGATCTGGCCAATCACCTGACCCTAATGTGCAGAGGAGCTCAGCTGTCCCTTTAAATAACTGGAGAGGAAGAGAGGCTCGACAATTTTCCTTGAAACAAAGCTGACTGAAGAAGGAACGTTCAGGCCATTTAGGTGGATGATGCTGTTACTACTATATTTTTGTTGTTACAATTCAGCCTTCCCACAAGCCCACTGTTAGCTAAAAATATCTCAGCTCCAAATTCCCGAGTGGTTTCTGCTGCATTGGCATCCTCTAAGGCGCTGAAAAATGCCGAACCAAATATATTGTTATGTTTGGAAATAGAGGGAATGGCTTGCTTGAGGCCTTCTCTTTTTGTTTATTTCTGGGACGTTATTGGAGCACTTAAGGAGAGAGAAAAGAAAGTCGTTGTGAAAAAAAAAAGGCAAACTTTTTTTAGAGTCATGGTAATCCCATAAATAACAGTTTCTAAAAGAAGACTCAGCATCATCCAGTGATCAGAAACTCATACTAGAAGCTAGGAAGCTAGAGGTTTTGTTCCATTCAGTATACCTTCAATGATATACTGTTGTTCTGTTGTAACATTTAAAGCTTCCTAAAGACAGAAGTGTATCTTTTAGGCCACCCTCTTTAATTCCACCATTATTAAAATGGAAAGGTGTATTTTTTTTTT